TTTTAGTGAGATAATATATTAATTATTTTACAAGCTAGCCCTAACATGCTCATATTTAATGTTTTAAAAGATGTAGAAAAAAAACTTATAATAACTCTATTGTTTTTTAGACTTAAACGTTGATTAAAAGAGGTAAAAATTCCTAATTTTTTAAACTTAAACGTTGATTAACACCATAGATTGAGAGTTTATATTTAGTAAAATTCCTAATTGTAATAAAAAAATTAATTTTTGCTACATTTTAGAATATCTTTAAATTCATTATAAAAAAAAAAAGAAAAAAAACTACAATGAAAAAAGCAAGTCAGCTATATATCGATTTGTTGTACTCCTCAAATCATATTCACAATTTGGCTACAAGGAAAGGAAACTCATTGATTAAAATATTATTTTGTCAGTAGTCTTAATGTACAAGAGACTTAAGCTTGAATATTATAAAACTTTTATTGAACATTGTACAATTTCTTGCGTATTATAAACTTTTATTGAATATTGCATCTTATAATATAATATTCTCCAAATAAATATATCTCGTGCTTCGCACGGGTCACGTACTATATATATCTCGTACATTTTTCTTTATTCATGTATATAATTATAAGCCTGGATAAATAGCCTTAAAATTGTGCACCCCGTGCATCGCACGGGCTCTGTACTAGTTTGGTCAAACAGCCAAAAAAATTGGAAACGCCAATAAACAAACAAGGTCTTATTATAATTAGTTGGAGTGCTCGTTGTTGTACTAGGCCTAGCCAAACAATACTTTCCTCTCATAAAATGAATGTTGGGAAATTATGTAAGGGAAATCTATATATATATAAAGAGGTTGTTGGAAAAATACATTAATAGAAAGTTTGACCAAATAAATATAATGTTTGACTTACTATTAATAGAAAGTTCAAAAAAATACATGTGAATCTTTAGTAACAAAATCTGAATCCTATTTTTTTGGTAACTAATTTGGAGATTCTTATAGCAAAATTTGAATTCTATTTTTTTCGTATTATATTTTATTTTTTTACTAAAATTTAAATCATATATTTTTTGGTTACAAATTTGGAGATTCTTATGCAAAAAATGTGTTAATTATTTATAAAAACAATTCTAAATATAAATTAACTTAAAAACCGTACAAATTGGATACAAATTTTGGAAACAAATAGTTGTATAATTCTTAACCAATTCTTCCAATCTTATTGAATAATTTTTTCTTTCCAAAAAAAAGGTGAGTAAATTGGATAAAACCACGTGCAATTTTTATTTTAGAATAAAACTGATATTTGGACGAGATGTACATTCAAAATTGTGTCCACATTTTTTGGTAACAAAAGTTGTTCATCTTTGATATCTAAAAATTAAGAAAATCTTAAAATATTCTTAAATATTTAACTTATTTGAGATCAAGATTTGTTAGGTCTTTTTAAGATTAATTATGATTTAAAAGAAAAAAAAATAATACAAAATTTCACTCTAAATCTCACATTCACACTTAAGATTTCATAGTATTTCTCTAAAATTTGATCATTTTAAAAGTCTCAAATCTTAAAAAATCTCAAAGTGACACTCAAAATTCTAAACGAATATATATTATACATATTATTTAATATTATTTATCCGTGCATCGCACGGGCCACATACTAGTTGATTATAATGACTAGGCCTATAAATGAATTTTTACTTAAGAAATTTGTTATCTTTAAATTCCTTTTATAATGTGAAGTTGTAAGCAGACAGGGACTCATCTATATATATATAATTGCTAGCTAATCCCATTTAATAAAACATTTAATAAAAATATTTTCACTTTCCCTCCAAAAGGAGTTACATTTTTTTTAATTAATTACTCATTAATCTCACATTTAAGAAGGTTTTTTATAGTTAAATTTAATTAGTTAATGATTAAATTAAAAAGATTTATTTTAATTAATCCCACATTTATGTTAAGTACAGTATCATCTTAATATCTTATCAGTGTTTCAAAAAAATAGTAATTTTTTTCAATAAATTTTATAAAAATTAGTCAAATGTGCTTATATTCATATAAATTAGAAAAAAAATCAAATCTTAGATATATAAAAAGAACATCGTTGAAATAACTTGAATCCGCAAGGGTAATTCTATACTCATTATCAATTACTTTAAATTTTTTGTTTATACTAAAAATTAATATTATAGTTACTCATTTATATTTAGATGGTATTTTTTTTATTAAGAAGCAAAGACAATCTCTATCAATCAATAAGAGTCAAGGACAAACAATATAAAGAAGTGTTTCCTATGCTATGACATGATCAATAAGAGTCAAAGACAGTCTCTGTCGCACGTCGGCTTACTACTGAAGAGCTCTGCATTTAGTCATGAGCAATTATACGTGGCGCTTTTTAGAGTTACGAGTCAGTGGGGTTTGAAAATTATGATTTGAGCTGAGGGAGATTTTGACGATAGAAAAACCATAACGTTGTTTTATAAAGAAGTGTTTAAGAATATTTATATTTTTTTTCTTAATTTTTTTCAATGAATTTGTTATAATTTTTACTATTGTTTATAATTTTTATTATTTTTTCATGTATCATATAGTTTTCCGTGCAAATGCACGGGACAAAAACTAGTTTCTTTTAATAAACAATTCGTCATTTATATAATAATTAATCTATTGACGTCATTAATGATTCAAAAGTCATATCGCAAGTAATAAATTCTTTTCGTCCATGGTCTTGCATTAAAAATAAATAAATCAACAGTGCATTTACTCATGTTATCCAGATATTCTGTTAAAAATATGATATGTACAATTTTTTATTTTTTTTTTGCAAACAAATTCATGAATTAAATTTTGTGAATTTCTCTATTATTCTTAAATAAAATAATTTCGAACAAACCAAACAAACCCCACAACTTACGGACAATAACCGCTCACACCCGGCAACCCAAAGAGAAATTCCAGAAAAAGAAAAGAAAAAAAAAAGAAAAAAAAGAAAAATCCGCAGTCAATACCAAAGAAGTATAACAAAGGAAGAGCCATTGTCAAAGGTTTCTCTTCTCGTTTAAGTTTTCTCACACCCATTAAAAAGAAGAGAAAACTTTGAATGAGCTGAGAATCTCCAGGAATTCCCATTGAATGGATTTGTAGGTATGATTTAAATACGTTTATTCGTAATTCTTACTCCTTGCTTTTCATCTGTGCAAACCTTGTATGGTTTGAATTTCTACATCAGCATAGCTTTTTTCACTTGGGAGGTGATTGTTTGATTGTCCGAGTTGAGACTGTGTTCGTATACTTCATATATTGATTAATACACGTGAATGGTAAATTTTTTGTTTGTCTGAGAAAATTATGCGAGTCATGATCCAATTGACCACAAAATCGACACAGAGACGCTCGCCTGTGTTGCTTTTAGATATGTTTTGGTTGAATGATTGGGTTTTTGTTTTCAATTTTTATTCGATTTCAATTTTCATGTGCATGTGCAATGAACTGTCGAGGATGATGAAATTTGATTATCTGCAGGCAATTGTATTTACATTTTTTTTTTTGTTTTTTTTTTGGTTCTTATTTTCTTTTGTGTTGACCCTATCTTGAAAAGCCATAGATCATTGGGCTCTAAATGTGTGTTTAATTTATGCCGTGGTTCACAAATTGTACAGCAGATATCTGTTGTATGTGTGCAAATTCATTTGACCGAAAATGGAGGTGGAAGAATGTATATTATCGGACCAGGTGCGTGCCAATGGCCACACTATGTCTGTGACTCTCTCTTCCGGTGGTCAATTGCAATGGGGTGATCGGCGGCTGGACATGGAGAAACAGGTGCTCGGTTTCTCTGTTGAGGGATTGAAGATCAAAATCAGATCTGCTGTGGAGGCCCCCGCTGGAATCTGCTGCTCTAGCGGAAAATCTAGCCTGATCAGAAAGACCTTCACCCTCGAGCTACAATCGAATAGTTCTGTTCACATATGGAGTCAGAAGATGCAGGATTACCTAGATTCTCTTGGTAAATTTTTAGTTTTTTCTCAATATGTTTGAAAAGTGAGCTCATTCACTATGGTTTATTATGATATTATATTGAACGTTGATTTCTGTTGTACGATGATTAGAATATTTGCAGCTCCAGTTGCGTAATATTTGTATTTGCTTGTTCAGCTAGGCCAAAGAGGTTATTCATATTTGTGAACCCTTTTGGAGGGAAGAAATCAGCGTCGAAGATTTTCGTGAATGATGTGAAGCCTTTGCTTGATGATGCCAATGTCGAGTACACTGTACAAGGTAGTAAATAGGCTGTGCTCTTTTTT